TAGATATGCTCATTTTAAAATTATTTTTGCGACATTGCTGTTGAACTGAATTTTATGGTTTAAGTGGAAAGAACATGGTATTTAATAAATAAAGGTAACACACAAAACGTTAAAAAAACGCCCCTTTTGATGTAATTTAAAATCTGAATCCTTTCAAATCCTTTAATTTTTTAATTTTTATTTTATTTTAAATTCTTAGTCTGCGTAAAGAAAAGGGAACGCATTAGTGATTTGATTTAATTGTTTATTTTTAGAAGCAGAGCTAAATTTAATGCACACTAAGTACTAATTAAGCATGCTTATAGCTAGCATAACTTACAGCAATAGCTAACAATCTAAACAAGTATAAAAAGTCATTCTAATTGCTATCGTAACAAAATGATGTACTAATTAATAGGTATCTAATTTCTTTCAGATATAATCTTTACATTAAATTTCACATGCTCATGCATTTTGATGAAAGAAGAAAATATAATGCTAGAAATATATTTATATTCTTATAAAAAATTATAGTAGCTGTGTTAACGAAAATAATGGATTGGCGGTTTCTTAGTTTTGAGTTTTAAATAACTAGCATCGCTAATGCAATTTTAAAATATATATGCATTGCACCACATATTTTAAGCCACTATATATATGAATAATGTAACTCCTTCAATATTCTTCATGCAGCAAAATATTATTTTTCAATATTTAATTCTCATTGAAATATATCAGTAGAAGTGCATTTTGATGAAAGTTATCTCACGCATCACTGAAAGTGTAGCTGTAGGATGTTTGCGCACTGAAGATACCAAAAGTATTTTTTAAAATAGGAACGCATAAAGATTAATCGTGCTAATGGAAATAGAAGAAAAATTTTTTCTCTTATTTATTTGTAAACTGAAACTTCTCCTGCAATTATCTCGTTTAATGTTAGCTTGTGAAAAAGGATTTATTTGAGAAACGGCGTGATATAAATGGATTATTCATCTATTAATTAACTGAGGAAATTTGGAATTATAAAAGTAATTAATTTCAACAAAATGAGCAAAAGTAAAATTTAACCAAGATAAACAAACGACGGCGAATTTATTCGGTTTTTAGTTTCTGTCTTTGATCAAACTGAAGAAAAAAGATAGTTTTCTTTCGTGAAAGAGGAATACTTTTGCGTAAATAAATTTAAAATGTTTATAAGCTAAGGAATACACATGTTTAAAACTGTTTCGTTATTGGAAGTTTGAAAAATATATTATTTGACAATACAGTTGTTATTTCTTGTGCAAAAATTAAACATGAAAATGAACATGCAACAACTATCAGCTATTTCAATAAAAATTAATCCAAACATGCATTAATTTCGATTGAAATTGCTACTAGTTGTTTTCGTTGTCATTAATATGTTTCTAATTCAAAGACTAAAACTTTGAAGCAAACATGAGTAAGGATTTTAACTACCTTTATACGAATTATAGAAGAAAGGGCAGAAAAATTTAAAAGATTTTGAATGTTATATGTTTTTAACAAATGAAATTGACTAATTAAGAATAATTATTATTACCTGCTATGTAATAATAGTTATTTATAAATAGTCAGTAATCTATTGTTTAAAATCTTTCATTAAATTGCAAATTCTTATGTCATATATCCTGAATTTCAAAATGTTGTTGTTGTTGTGACATATCTCATTTGTCTGAACGTAACATCAGAACAAGCCCACTAAATTCATCGTGGCAAGGAGTGCAAGATTGCACTTGTTGTTGGTAAGAACCTTGAGCAAAATAGAGGTGGTAGTACGACTGTTCTTAGTTCTGCCCACCCATTTTGATGGAGAAATTATCGGAGGGACATGTCCGAAGGTCTTTCACCCTTCTTCTCATTTCACCAGCCTCTCGAGAGGGCTTTCGGCTCGCCGCATATTTAGAGTGCCCAAATACGGCACGGACACTATACGTTTATAAACATTCATTCGTTCTCCGAGATCCGAATAGGGTACCTTAGTAGGCTCTCCTAACCACTATTCCTTCTGGGCGTACGAAAAATGAGTATTATTTTGCTGCATAATTAATTTAATTATAATTAGTCAGTACTTTTGTATTATTTAAAATCTTTCACAGTTTTTATATACATGAAATATCTATACTTTGCTCTTAATTTATCAAATACTTAACTCATTGGCTTGTATGTGCAAGTTGCAAGTACTTTAAATATTTTCCTTGTATTTTTAGAAAAACACGTTCATAAGGCAATTTTTCTGTATATTTTTCATTCTTAGTGACACAATTCTGTAGCATAAATCATTAGTTATAAAATGTTGCACAAATGCACATGGGTTTAATTTATATGATGTTATATTTAATCGTACAGCAGTATATAAATTTTAACACGCTGATTTCAACATGTTGATTAAACGTAAATGTTTAATCAAATTGAAATCACAATTTTAAACTAAGGTAAGAACTTTTATTAATATATGCGACACAGAAATCTCTGAACATGTAAAATGATCTAGTTATAATTTAATGTCGTATAGAATCCATTATAATGTTAAGTCCAGTATCTAAAACAAATCTTAGTATATATATGCGTAATAATTAACATAATTTTTATCTCTAACCCATCTTGTCATCTTGTATCTCTCTCTCTATATATATATACAGAGAGAGAAATACAAATATATATATATATGCTATATAAGAAGGTATCAATCAATCAATTTTAGTTAATCTCTCCTGCAACTAATATGCAGCTGAGGCGACATTCGTGTAGGCGAATTAGTTCTGTTTCCGTGATTCCTCTTTCCGCGTTTTTAAAAATGTTTTCTGTTCCCGCTAAATCGGAGGGTACAGTCCCTTACAGTTCCCATGGAGGTAAGAAAGGAGTGGCCAATCCGGCATTAGAAGTGAAGCGTTGCTAAAAAGCTTCGGTCACCAGATGGGGTGTTTTTCGTTTACATTCAGAAGCCAGGGATAAATAGAAAGGCTAGGTCATTCCTTTATTCGACGCCTCGCCGACGCGAGCCTCATGAAGGGGGTTAACTGGAAGTAATCTGACGTGTCTGTGTTGCACCTGCTCTGATTTCGCGCGTTTAAAACTGCAGTTTCATTCAGTTGCGACACGATTTTCTGGTGGTCGCATATCCCAAATTAATTTTAATCATACTTATTTGTTTTCTAATAATGCAAATATTTATATATATACACGAATAATTCGTGTTTAATAATTTGTATATATATATATATATATATAGTTTTAGTCAGTTTTTCTTTTAAATTCTATATTTAAAGTATCCTTTACGTAATATGGCTTCTTGTGCCGTAGCAACGTGCCGTTACACTTATAGAAATACGAAATGAAGAGATATTGTATTTCATGCTTTCCCAAAGGACAATTTGCTTTTGTCGAAAGAATGGATACATAAATGTCGAAGACAGGATTCTATTAATGTGAAAAAAGCAAGAATTTACATTTTTGAACATTTTCTGTGCAGTGATTATTAAGATGACATGAGAAATCACTTGCTTGGATTGCCGCAAAAGAAACTGTTGAAATGCAATACTGTGCCTAAAGTAAATTTATCGTGTTCAGTAAACGAAATAACACCGAAGAATCGTTGAAATTTGAAAAGAAAACTAATGCAGAGTGCTTTTGAAAGACTACATGAATTAAGTCCAAAGAAAATTTATTTTGAGGCCGAGAACGAAATTGAAGCTGACTATAATAAATCAAATGTGAATAATTTTGAAATAAAACTCACAAGTGACAATGCCTTAAGCGACAATATCCCTGAATGACTAAGTGTAAAGATAAGGAAGAATGTATTGATAATTTGAAGAACAAAATAACATCTTTAGAAAATTGTAATAAAATATTCAAATATAGAGAAAAGAAAAATTTTAGAATATTTGCTCAGCGACAAAGAAGGTGAACGACATCTAGGAAGAAATTTGTATCGGAAATTCAGAAATTAAAATCCCAACGAAATTTAGGAAAAAAACAGCACAGATCGGAGAATTTGAAAAAGCATCTAAAGCATATTTTTACAAAGACGCAGATTAACGCATTGCTAGAAAAAAAGGAAAAAAAATAAGGTGGACTAGTAAAGATATTTCACGTTGTATTGTCATAAGAGCTCTGTAGAATACGTTTCTTAAATAGAAATGCATATGTTTCTTTTCCCAAAGAAAAGTAATCCAAAAGGTAAAAAAGGAGATTGCTTCGAATATGGTAGCCAATAAATAATATTTAAACAACTTGTAGTTGCATTGTGACTGTACAAGTAAGCATATATAATATGTTTTGATTTGAAATATAAAGTTATTTTTATTGTATTCTGTGTTATTGATTCGATTTTGTGCTAGCTTAGCATTCTAGATAAAATATAATAGTATAACATTAAAGTAATTGGCATAAGAAAACCTGCCTCCTTAATCCCCACTTAAGTGATTTCGAATCCCCTCTCGAAATCTTTAGTTTTATTCTATTTGTAATTCTGTTACAATATTAGCTGTAATTTTTCACATCTTATCTTAATCAATCTTTTAAAATATCCACCGTCACAATAAACTAAAGTCACTCGATAGTTGCCTTAAATATGTTGACTCTAATTGAATTCAATTGCAATTGTTGAACCAATGTTTCCGAAGTTTTTAATACTACGACCATAGGAATAAATTTAATTGAATTGCGAGCCACGTTTAAAGTTGGAATTGCAAGTGACTCACAGAGTACAGTTTCTCTTAAAAAAAGAATCTAGATGAATAGGAGACTTAGAGCATTGTAAAATGAAATAGTATTAAATAAGTTGGTAATAATTAGCAATATAATTATATACAGGCAAATAATATTCTTTATGTTAATAATACTGAAGCGTCCAAGTAAGTACTGTAGTAAAAATTTTCAAAAAAATGGCACTGACATTCGAAGTATTTTATAATAATCATAATTTCACAAGAAAAATCTGTGTTTCTTTAATATAAAATGATCTAAATTGTAATTAACTTTCTTATCTTTACTTGCAGATTTGAATTCTAGTTCAAATGTGTCGAAATCTCATCTAGAAGAACCACCAGAAGACGAATCGGAACTTCTCAATAGTGTAAACAGAATTGCTTCATCAGACAATGAACGGTAATTATTTAAGCAGTACTTTAGCAGCATTTAAGGTATTTTAATCCATGTATACTTTAGTAGAAAAGATGGAATGAAATGTGGTTTAGCTATTTAAATTAAAAGACTGAAAAATCAGCACACAAGATTTAGAATTAGTGGCATCAAATAGGCTCATTATGAAACGAAAATATTAGACAGCGCTTTCTCGCAGAGCTTCTTTATCATTTTCAGAAATTTTTAATGACTTCATGAAGTCAGAACAATCAAAAGCAGATAAAGTTGAATGACAGTAAGACACTGCTTAGCAATATTTTTAAGCGATTTTGTGGGAGAAAAAGCATTGAATCTACGATTGATTTCTGGATCTTGCATGACAAAAAGCGAATTTTACATAAAGTCCTGTTTGGGAGAAGATCAAGTATACAGGCCATTCGAGAAAGTTTGCTGATGGCTTTATTTCCTCTCCAAATATTGATCACAGACCTGTACTGGCAGTTAAAGTGTTTCTCAAAAAGAAATAGGAGATTTTATAAAACACCTTCAAAACAGTGACCAGAAATATTATTTAAATACAAAATTTAACTTTTTGTGATATGCTAGTAGAACAAACTTTTAAACTATAAAAGAGAATTCGCTATATTACTGCGTTAGTAGAAGACTGGAATAATTAATTTACTACAAATTCTAGAGTAAGTGTACTATCGTCATCCATCTATCCCAGTCCAGTTCAGTACTCCTACGCCAGCATTTTAAAAGGCGCATAATTGTATTTAAAATATGGATTGGAACCTTTCTGACGGAGCAAATCCTTTCATGCACCCAGACCGAATTTTGTTGTCACCTCATCGTCACAGATCGTCATCTACTCAAATGTGTACCTAGTTCTCATTGCCAGTCGTGATGTGTTGTGTGTTGTAGAAATGTCACACTATCTGTCTGATGCAAATAAACTTTTAGCAAGCTCTAAATAGATTTCCTTCGTTTCAGGTGGTGAGCCCTTGCGTAAAGTTTTAGCACACCTTTTTTTGAATTTCAGTTCGTGATGAATGATGTGATGGACCGATCTAGTATTAGTGTCCATTAGTGATGTTGGCATCTTGAATGTAGCTCTCGTATCGTTTTTCTCGGCTTCAGAGTTACCTTTGGCGAGTGTTGAACTGGAGGAGGAAGACCGTCCACACTAGTAACACTGATCTTCTTTTAAGTGCATTTATATTCTTTTGTAGAACTAATGAAGCTTTAAATTTACCAAATTCTCATCTGAAAATTTAGAAAGTTTTTTCTCCACCGCTTTAAATCCATTATCCTTGCATGGAGCCCTATCATATTGCAAATTGTTTCCCATTTTCGTATGCTTGATGTAAATGTGCTAAAAAGTTTTTGTTAGCTCAAATTCAATATCTTACACATCCTACATGACAATGATTTCGATGGAACGTGTAGCTTTTCATATAACGTTTCCTTTTCTCTACTGAATGATTTATCACCTTAATATGTAACATGCGGAAGACTCCGTACCTTTGCTTGCAAAACCTTTCATTGCCTATTAGCAACTGAATTTCAAAGTTTTTGTCCGCATTTAAGAAGCCATTGGGAACAAATATCGCTCACTTTGGCTTTCATGACTCCATATTGGGTAAAGTTGAACTTTTTACTAAAATTGCAGCAAACACTATAAAAATAATAACTATACTTATCTTCGCGATTTCGCACACAAAGGTATGGAAATTATATAATTAGCGAAATGTTTTACATGTGAAGTACTTGTTTAAGATCCATATTTCGGGAAATAAAGTCGATTATTTGTTACATAAAGCTCTATCAAACTCTATGCATAGATTTAATTGACGGATCATGACAGTTAAAATTTACTTATACCTAAAAGTTGCTAAGACATTTAAAGCGGAAATATTAAAAACTCCAGTAAATTAATAAACCAAAAATTACTGTATATTACATGTCAATCCCTCTAACCTGTAAGAAAAGTGCGGAATGGTTAACAACCAGTGTAAATTTATATCTGCAACTTTTAATCATTTACAGGATATTATATATTCTCAATTTCGCAATTTTTAGAAGTCGATTATTATGGTAAATATTCATTCATTTTTGGTGTGCATGCTATTGAATTTTATCGTTCACTTCACTATATTTATATTTGATATTTGGGCTTAACAATTTATAAGTAATAATTATAATAAAATTAAAATGCAACGTTCGTTTATTACTCATAGTTGCTTGTCTGCATTATTCCCTCATGTGATTTAAATAAAATGTTTAAAAGGGTTACAGAGTTTGTTTTTCTTTGGTAGAAAAAACCAGCATCAAACCTCTGCTAGACTAGGAGCGAATTATCGCTTGATTTGAAGTAACAGCTGAGTCTTGAAAAGGTTTACGAAACCCTTTTTTATTAAACCAAAACTTGAAAATGAAATGCCCACCTCACGTAAATGCTTACAAAACAACTACAACTTCTGGCAATGAAACTCAAAAGAGCGGTAAATTCAAATTTAAAACCAAGCCTAGTAATCAGACTGAACATTGAATTTAACGCGAAGTTGAATCAAAACTTCTCACTGAAGTAGTTATTTAAATGCTGTCAACAATAACGCAAAGTCGAAGAATTACAATCTTATTAGAGCTAGCAAAATCTAGTAATGTGGCTGCGAGAGGCAGGTAAAATACAAAGGCTTGCAATCCTAAAACCTTGAGCCAAATACTCTCAAAATGAACTTACATTCTGGTAGGCAAACGGAAAGGAGAAGTGACATATTAACTTTATAAGGTATTTCTCCCGCCTTCTTAGCATGCCTTCGCAGTGTAGTGGTCAGCACGCTGGGCGCGTATTCCAGAGGTCCGTGGTTCGATTCCTGGAGAGGGCGTTGCTCATTTTTCATCTCTCCTGCTTTCAAAAAAAAAAAAAAAAAATACGCAATGTCTCTACAACCTCACAGTGTCTTTATGCTACCTTTAGTAACCAAAAGTGATCATCATGGCTTATTCGGAATTGCTTCATCAATATTAGTTAGGATAAACAAGGTTCTGCTGTGGTTATTGACTTAACCTAAATAAGCATTTTCTCTAGGCATACAGATTTGGTTCCTGAACTATAAGATAACTCACATTTCCTTCTGCAACGTACCAGAATTTAAGTTTTAATCATATTAATTTAAAAATTGTATTCATCTATTGCTTTTTAAAGTTCAGTAACACGTTTACAGGTCAATCCTGTTAGCGTCTTTGCTTTTCATTCAATTCTCCTGTAAAATCACTTTAAGTTTAGAGTATATTTTCATTTGCATTATGTTTCTTATTTAAATGAATACTTGTTTCCTATAAGATGTCTTTCCATCTTAGTGATTTTTAATTTATCATATGATGGTTGCTTTGGAACGCTCAATAAAAGACACCAAGTACTTCCATATAAAGGTTCTATGGGAAATTCATAAAGTAAAGGAAATTAATGAGAATACAGAACAATATAGCAAAAACAATAAAAAACTGCATATTTATTCTTCCTGCAAATATTCCACTGCCCCCCCCCGCAAAAAAAAAAAGTTTTCCTTTTTGTTCTTTATTGCTCTTTTCTTTGAAGCACCATGCTTATTTTCTTATTTTCTCGTGATTTTCTTTGCAAAAAATATAGTTTTTGAACTTATTTCATACATACAAGTTCTAGAAAAGTAATATTTTTAATTTAGAAGCTATTTTTGTCACAACAAACACGTATTTCTATACTTACAATGATTCAAAGTCTTTTAACTTCTTGAAGAAACAAACATGCATTACTTTAAGTTTAGAAACGAAATGTACAAAATATTTTGTAAAATATTTCTTAAAATAACCAATTATTTATGTGCAGAATTCCTTTGCAAAAATCCTACTTTTAAACTCTTGCAAAGCATTTCTCTCTATGACCTTATTTAGGTCTTGGAAGAGTGTTCCTTTTTAATGATGTGCATAGATCTTCTGAATAAGTAGGGAGGAATTAAAGGAACAATATTAAATTTTATTGTAGCTCAAAGCGATAGTAAGTTTATTGGAGTGAATAACAGCAACAGCAATAGATCTGGAATCTGGAAATAGAAACAGTTATTGCTGTAATCTTCCTATAGCTCTCAAATTCAAAATGCCAGATTTCAAAATGCTCAAAAGAATTTCAAACCCTCTCATCAAACTAAAACTAAAAATGCTGACTATTTGGACTCCCAACTGAAATCAAAATATGTAATAAAAATATGGAATTGATGACAACATCAGCTTAGCCAGTAGTTAAGAGTCTGGTATGGAGTCAGTTGACTCCATACCAAACGCTTAACTACTGGTTAAGCTGCTGTTGTAATCAACTCCTTATACTTCTGTTGCGAAGAAGAAAGCAAGATAGAGTTATATACCCAGTGGAATTTCACGAAATGGAACACCAATCTATTTTGACAGCTTATTAATTTAATACATAGATGCAGTTAGGATTATTCAGAATATTAATGACCAACCAGGTAAGTCTACTTAGCATTCTTACCGCAGAGTGAAATTCCGGTGAACTGATTGTGTGGACAATTTCATGGTTCTTTAAGTATAACTTAAATGCGGGTTGCTGTTAAAATGTTCCCATGAAGACATCCCTTTTGAGCAGATAGACACACCTCATGTGCTTTTCCTTAATCAGTTACATTATTATTCACTAGGCAATCGATTTCATCGGCTGATGAAATTATAATGCTGTTAACGGTAATGATGGCTGTTTTGTATGAATTTTACAAAAAATATGCATCTGTTTATTTTGACATGAAATGAGACATCAAAACAAAATGTACACTACGGGGGGGAAGGAAAAAAATCTGAAAGTTTTCACATTTTAAATTACGTCCAAAGGGGCGTTTTTTTAACATTTTGTCTGTTACCGTTATTTATTAAATACTGCGTTCGTCGCACATAAATCGTAAAATTCAGTTCAATATCAATATAGCAAAATAGTTTTAAATTGAGCGTATCTTTAGAATTTGCAGTATGCAGTCTCA